GGATTCTTCAATCCTGACTTTGCCTTTGGTTGACTGTGTTCGTGGAGTCTGTTTCCTCCTCTGTAAAAGTGGGTTGATGATGCCCATGGTGCATGGTAAGCCCCTACAGTAGTGCTTTATTACAGATTTATGTCATCAATGAGAAATCACAGACCTGGGAAGGGCTGGCTCATAGCCTGGCGCAGAACAGGGACCGCATGGATGGGGCCATCTTGCAGGAATGTGGTCCACCCTCCTACCCTGCTAGGAATCTCCTCTGCAGCACCTGTGGTGGCATAGCCAGCCTGTACTAGGATGACAGGAACTCACTGTCTCATAAGGGAGCCTAGTTCATTGTGAAGGCAGGGTTGAGGGGGAAAGCATGGTCTATAGAAAACTCTGATATACAGGTAAAATCTGGGCTAGTTGTGTGACCTTGGAAAAATCACTCTGTCTTTCTGATCCTCAGTTTTTTTTTTTTACCTTTTTCTCCCCAAAGCCCCCTGGTACATAGTTGTATATTCTTTGTTGTGGGTCCTTCTAATTGTGGCATGTGGGACGCTGCCTCAGCGTGGTTTGATGAGCAGTGCCATGTCCCCACCCAGGATTCAAACCAACGAAACACTGGGCCGCCTGCAGCAGAGTGCACGAACTTAACCACTCGGCCACGGGGCCAGCCCCTTTAGTTGTACATTTGTAGTTGTGGGTCCTTCCAGTTGTGGTATATGGGACGCCACCTCAGCATGGCCTAGACCAGCGGTGCCATGACTGCGCCCAGGATCCCGACCCGCGAAACCCTGGGCCGCCGCAGCAGAGCGCAGGAACCCAACCACTCTGCCACGGGGCCAGCCCCCTCAGTTTCTTTATCAGTAAAATGGAGACAGTATAACCTCTACTGTAAGGTGAGGAGTCGAGATAAAATGTGTAGACAGCCTAGTCTGGGACCTCTACACAGTTGGTACTCAATAAAAGTCAGGTAAAAATGAAAGTACCATTATTATGTAGTTTCAAGGAGCACTTATTAAACCCCAGTTGTACTCAGAGCAACAGAGGTAATACACTATAGATGTAGCATTGCCTGGATTCTCGTGGACTGGGCGTCAAATGAAGAGCAATGGTCATCTGAGGTGTTTGCCTCTCTCTACACAGCCCCGGGGTCAGAAACGGCCCTAGTCCCTACCTGACAGGAGGGTAGAATCTCGTGCTGTGATAGAGTACCCTGACACTTTATAGCAGGATGCTAGGAAACGGGCGTCGAGTAAATGAAATGGTACTTAGAAGACTGGAGCCTCGTGTCCTTCAGCCCCGTGAAAGGGATGGGCTGGAGGCTCTCGCGATTTCCGACCACCAGCCAAGGCAGGGCACTTGCCATGTCACCAGGGTGAATCCCTCCACCCACGTGGATGTCTCTTTCTAGCAGTCCAGGGCTCAGATTTAAAGAAAAATGATACAAGTTTTTCCAATTATAAAAATAGTATATTCTCGTTGAAGACATTTTGGGGGAAAAGAAAATCAACAATAAGAAAAACACTCCACTACCTTGGCATATTTGATATATTTTCACAGCCTTTTATTTACACTAAAGAAGCAAACAATTTAAAAATAATTGGAAATATACCATGTATACGGCTTTGGGCTCTGGGGGTTTCACTTGCTATCACATCGTGAACCTTTCCTTAGGTCCCCAGATATTTTCTACAGAAATGGTTTTAAGTGGCTACATGGTGTTCCATCACTGGATGTGCTCAAATTTACTTAAGCACTCTAATATTTTTGGACACTTAGGAATAAATGGCTTTAAACATTCCTGTATATTAAAGATTATTACTCTTTTGTTGAAAAATTCTGTGTTGCAGGGGACGAGGGTTGACCAGTTGACCACAGGACTCCCTCCCAGGCCTGTGCGTCCCTTTAGGCCCTTGGATGGGGGTGAGTAGGAGCAGAGCAGGTGTGGCAGGACCCCCTGCCACGTGGCGTATGGCGACTAATTAGCCAGCCCTGAGTCACTGCCGTCACCCAAAGAACCATATCAATTTCAAGCTTCATTGGAGTTTAGGCAGCAAAGAAAAGATGATAATGCAACATTTCAACAAACAGAAAACATCTGTAGTCCAGGCAGTCTTCTTTGACATGTTTTCCAGCTATTAAAAAATGGTTGATGGTTTGTTTTTGTATTGATATGTGATAGAGAAGGCAGGGAGATCTGCAAAGGAGCAACTGTCTCCGCTGACCCGGCGCACAGCTCGTCTCCCATGGGGCTGGAGCTGGCCAAGAAGGCTGCGCTGGCCAAAACCAACAAGCAGGTGAGAGTTGCCGCTTACGTAAAGGCTTTGAGTTTTAGAACAAAAGGAAGAGACTCAAAGGAGAGGAGACAGCATCTGGCCCCTTTCCTTCACCTCTTCCTCTAAAAATGATGGAAATAGACTTGGATTCTGGTTTCAGTTCATTCCTGCCAAAAGAAATAAATTAGAGGTTGAAATGTGCAGCTGACCCCAAACTCTCCCCTGGGGAGGCGTGATGCTCCCCAGATGCCTTCAGACCCCTTTGAGAAGAAAGTTATGGTCATTTCTGGCTCAGAATCATGTGAGTTGTCCCCAGTTGATTCCTGTAGGGAGGTTTGTCTTATCCTGAAACAGTCTGAGCATCCTTGAATTCACTGCTTGCTGTCTTCAGCCTCATCTAGGTCTGTGGTTTGGGTGGTATTTCAGGCATCAAGTAGTTAATGTCAAAGACTGGAACCTTCTTGAGGGCCAGAACTGTGTTCTGTTTTTGTTTGTTGCTGTGGTTGGAGCTGCACGGCACCAGCCCCGCCTCAGACACCTCTATCCATGTGTGCTGAGTAAATGGTTGCAGGCCGCTCTTCATTAAACTGCAGAACATGGAAGAGGCTAAATGAAAAGTGGCTTATGTTTAGACCGCGGTCTGGGTAGCACCAGATGGAGAGACTTTTCCCCACAGCTGGAGGACCCTGCACGGTGTAGAAATGGAGTTTCTGTATAAGCCACATTGGAAGCTTCTTGTGGGCAGGGACTCTCTATAAATACCCTACAGCATCTAGCACACTGTTGGATATGTAGTAGGTGCTCAAGAAATGAGAAGTGCCTGAAATTGTCATGAAAGAAAGAATGAATGAATGAGCTCCTTCATTAGTTCTCCCTTGGATCCACAGTGTTAGCTTGTGCCTGGCACACAGTGGGCCCGAATAACTGCATCAAATAAATGAATGGGAGCTTGACAGACACCAGGGAGAGCTGCTTTCTTTCCATCTCAGCTGGCAGAGGGTTGTTGAGAGCATGGACTCGGGCGTCAGGAAGTCCTGGTTCAAGTCCAAGCCCTCCACTCATTCTAGCGGTTGCCATATTGGACACCACCGCCTGACCCTGGGGATCTCGGCCACCTCTCACTCTGTCTCTGAAAACTTTTTTGGACAGTGATGTCTCCCAACCTTGAGCCCTGCACCCCACTCCGTTGTAGGTTTCACTTGGCAATTAATCATATCTTATCTTTGAAATACCTTCTGTTATTGTCTTATGTGTCATTCGAGTCTGTTTAAATGGACACGTCTCACGTTTCTACTCTGTTTCCCTCTGTTTGGAGAGTGGGCCTGAGGGCTTGTGGGTGGTGCTCTAGGCTGGGAGTCAGAGGCCCTGGCTTTGAACTCTGGCACAAGCCAGTCATGCCTCTGAGCTTCTGCCCGCAATATCTGTAAAGCTGGGATAGAGGCCAAGGGCTGGCCTAAGGATGGATGGGAACCAATACGTGAAACCACCTTGTACATGGTAAGGTGCGTTACGGGAGTCAGGCGCTGTTATGATCACCAGCTACGGCAGCACAGGGACTGTTTCTTTTGCTGCATGCATCTCTCAGGACACGCGGGGCCACCACAGGTGAGTGCTCAGAAGTGCTGCCTGGCTCTCCTCTGCTACCTTTGCTCAGGGCTGTGTTCCCGTCTTCCTGTGGGACTGGGAGCCATCTCTACTTCCTGGCTTCCAAATGCCCAAGAAGGGATCGAGTCCTAGACCTGGATGCCCTGAATTGGTAGAGGATGTGAAGGAAAATATAGTAGTAGCCAACTCTTAGACAGCCAGGCACTGGTCTAGGCACTTTACATATAGGAATTCCTTTATTTTTCTCAGCAGCCCCATGAGGCAGGTACTAATGTTATCCCTGTCTGACTCATGAAGCAAGTGAGCACAGAGAGGTGGAGAAAGCAGTCTGAGGTCGCCTAGCAAGTGGCAGTGTCAGGGTTTGAACTGGGTGGCCTGGCCCAGAGTGCAGGCTGCTAGCCACGTGGGTTCTCTAAGCTGCCCTGGGGCTGGAAGACTGTAATGAAGGCCAAGTGGCTCACCCCGCCTTCCCCATCCTCATCAGGAGGGACCCTCGGGGCCCTTCTCCTGCCCAGGACCCCCTCTGCTCCCTGCTCGGCCCACGTCTCTCTCCAGGAGCTCCTCTGCCATCCTTGCCTCCCTCCCTGCTCTTGGCCTGAAACAGGAGATGAGAGCAGCGGTCGAGACGTTGGAATTCATTTCTAGAAGAACTCTGCATTGTCAGAGATGGAAGGGGCCTCCGGAATCCTCTGGTCCAGGTTTGTTAAGAGAAAAGAGAGGCCTGAGCTGGCTCTGTATTGATGTCCAAACATATAATAGCGGCACAAAAAGGAATTATGTTCAAATGACTTATGAGCATGGAGGCAAAATTCTAAACAACACATCAGCAAACTGAATCTAGCCATGTGTAACAAACACAATACATGATGCCCAAGTAGAGCTCATCCCAGGAATGCAAATACAATTTCACCCTAGAAAACAGAGGCTCGGGGGCAGCTGCTGAGCCCGAGCCGGCCCAGGGCCCAGCCCGAGTGTTTTGTGTCTCAGGCTAACTTCGTGCCTTATCGGCTCCCAGGAGGGGCTGGTGACAGTCCCTGCATCGCTCCCTCTCCTTCCCCTTTCTGTGTCCTCAGAGTGAAATGAGATGCCCCATTCCTGGCCCTCCCTAATTCTCTCTTTCTGTTTCTCCTGCAGGATTCCATGTTTTCGTTGGCCCTGAAATGCCTTATCAGTCTGTCCACCATCATCCTTTTGGGTCTGATCATCGCCTATCACACGCGTGAAGTCCAGGTAGGTGCCCTGGCCCTCAGCCCTTCACGCACCGGCCACTCCTTTCACTTTGCTCCGGGCTGAGCCTGTCCCCACCCCCAAACCCACTGCACAAGCAAAGACTCTAGAGATTTTACGCCATGTCCCAGATGGTGGCTCTTCTCTTCCGGTTTGGACCCTCATGGGAGAGGGAACTGTGAGGCTGCCCCGTGGCTTTACAACAACTGTGTGACATTATCTTCATTTGGGGATGCCAGAGGCAAACGTGGCTTCATGATTTGGGGGCAGTCCTGAGCACGATCCTCATTTAGCCCCATTGTGCTGTGAGTTTCTATGATTTCCTGGATCCTTTCTGAACTTGAGCCACTGAACTCCTTCCCCCCAACCCCACCGCTGTGAGGGAGACCTGCCTCGTGTCCCCCTATACACACACGCACACACACACACACGCACACAAATACCACCAGGCATCTATATTTCTGAGTGGTGTAGACTTTATCCCCCGTGGACCCTGCCAGGCTGGGAGGAGTCATTTTCTAGATAGAAGAGATGTCTGCTGTGGTCAAAGAGGCCACTGTTTCTTGCTGCCCAGGAGTGACTTGGCACCCAGAGAAATATTGGCTGGGCCCCCGAGGTACACTTCCAGTTTGGCTGACGTAGGGAGGATGGTTCGACCTGGGTTGGGACGGGCAGGCAGGAGTGAGCAGATCTGCAGCCTCCCTCCTGACAATGGGTCTCCCCCATCACCCGGCGCTTCAGGCTGACCTGCTCCACTGGGGACCTGAGTATTTCTAAAATATCCAGATGTTTTTTCTCACACTTATGAGAATCTGGAAATAATCCCTGTCCTTTGGCTAGAGGAGCACAGATAGATCCACATCTGGGCAGCAGGCAAGAAATTGATGCAGACCAGAACTCAGAGTCAGAAAAACCAGGGTCAAGTCTCGGCCATGACCTCTTCTCACGGTGTGTCTTTGGCCAGTCCTGTGACCTTTGCGGGCTGGAACATGTGAACCTTTCTTCATCTGGAACATAGGGGGTTTTATTCACCTTTTGTGGGTTGTTATAAGGATGGAATGAGGAGTGTACAAGAAAGTGCCCTGTAAACTGTAAACCACTATTAAAATCTCTCCCCTTTTGTTACTCGGCATTTTCGGGGCAGAGTGGTGACACAGACAGATGCAGGTGTGGGCACCTTCTCCTCCTAGAGAGTGGTCTGCTTTCCTGCTGAGTGTCCAGGGGCTACTGTGGCTGGCTGGATGCAGAAGCCTTGGCTCCAGGCCACTTTGGCAGGGCTCCAGGCTCTCGATGACCGGAGGCCACTAATCTCGACGGCTGGGACTCTTTACTCTCAGAGGGTCACACGTGCTCAGACAGAGGTTGTGTTCTGAGGGCTAAGAGTTCCAGACGCCACTGAGCAGCTGCCAACGTGGAGTCTGAACTGGACAGAGTGAGGGGTCTTGAATCCAGACCATTGTCCAGTCAGCCCCACAAAGGAGCCAGGAGTCTGGGTAGGAGGGTCAGGGGCAAGGAACCAAGATAGGACCAGGAGTCACAGTCTGAGCTCCAGGCCAGGTTCCACCCCACCCAAACCAGCCATGGGACCCAGGTAGTCCCTTAAACCCTCTGAGCCCCCATGTCCTCATCTAAAGGGAGTCCGTATTACTATGTGTCATGCTCATCTGTGCAGAAGGTATCACACAGGCCAAAGGAAAAAGGCAGAATCATAAAGCTCAGCTGCGATGCAGCCTTGAGGGCGGGTGAGGAAGAGGAGCAGTCCCAGCCTCAGCCCCACACTATGGGTCCACTGGGCCTCGCTGCTGCTTCTCTCTGTTCCAGGCACTGTGGCTGGAAGAGCCAGGTGTCCCTCCCTCTGATTCTCTTGGGGTCCTCATTCCCAGCCCAGGGCCTGCAGCCCTAGCTCTCAGGCCTGATCCCGCCCAGCTTCAGTTGTGACCTCAGTTCTGGCCTAGCAGCAGGGCCATGTTGCTGACAGGCCAGCACTTAGCTGGGCACCCTTATCCCATGCTCAGCTCACAGCCAATCTCTGCTTTGCCCTACTTGTGGGCAGTGGAGGATGCTATGTTAGTAACTTATCTTGTCCGGCACTCACAGTTTGGAGAAACAAAGGGACATCAGTGGCACTGAATCCCGGCTCGCACTTCAGCCTGAATGACCTTGGGCCAGTAACAATGTCTCTGGGCCTCAGTTTCCCCATCTGAAGTATGGGAGGCATATCACCTGCTTCGCTGAACTCCGGCGGGTTCGTAACAGTACAGAGTACAGAGTGGGCTTTCATGAAATGGAAACTGGTGCCTTTCCTGTGGCCTCTGCCCCACTGCTTCCAGCTGGGCCTCATCCATGCACAAGCTGGGCCCACCACATGGTCACTCTCATGACTGCCCGCACTAGCAGGTGGCTGGACTTCCTCCCCGCCCTGGCCCAGCCCTGCCTACACCCTCAGCTCCCGTCACTCAGCCCCTTATCCTACCTGGCCCACTATCATGTGAGGAGTCACCAGTACCTGGCTCCCTCTGTGCCTCTTACCTTTCCAGTAATGTTCCTTCTGCATGTAGCTGGACCTTCTCCTCCCAGAGGGAGATGGGCAGAGTTTGGGCCCAGAGAGTCAGTGGGAGTGGGGTGGCTGGAGGGCTTGCTCTGACAGGACCCCTTGAGTGCACCCCACTGGATCATAGTGTCATTTTCTGTTCTGTGTCTTTCTCCCCCACCTCAGGGACAATGATGTCATTAATCTCTGCATTTCTAAGGACCCACAGTGCTGACAAGCAGCAGGTATTTGCAGGACATGTTTTGAATGACAGGGTGCTAGATTCAAGATATCTGGTTTCCAAAGCGATTTAGACCATTATTTAGCTCTGTGGTCTTGGGCCTCATTTTCCCCATCTGTTCATTGGGGATTCTAAGTCCCCCAATTCTGTCATTCTCTGATTTAGGTGTGGTTCAGGGCCAGCGGGGAGACCATGCTTCTGGAGAGTAGAGGGAGGCATTTTCCCGGCATGAGTGACAGCTGGGCTGATCCGGGAGGGGAGCGCTGGGCGAACACCTGCCATGAGGGTGGGGAGCAGCGCTGCTGCTCATCTGTCATGAAGCAGGGTAGGCTCGGGGGTCTCATCCTCTCTGGGAGTGACATCAGGGGCTTGTGCTAAGGATATGCTCGCCGCTTCCCTCAGCCATACCAGCTGCTGGTCACTTGGCTACATTTTAGCAGGGACCAGATGACCGTGTCTCCACCTCCCTCCAACCCTGCCCCAGACACTCACATCCAGGCCCTGGGCCCTGGCCCAGCATACACATGAGGCTGGGGTACCTTCTAGAATAGTGTTCTTAGTTGTTAGTTTGGATGGTGTGTATTTTTGAGGAAGAAGAACTCTGAAATATTGTTGGGTAGCTCTCAACCAAACTCTGGCTTCAAGTCATAGAGCCTCAGGCCTGGAAGGTCCTCAGAGGCGACAGTGTGCCCCACCAGGGCAGGAACCCCTCCATCTCCGCGGGCTCCGCCATGGCTGGGAGGCCCTGCCTCTTCCAGGAGGCCCTCCCTTGATGGGCAGTGGGAGTCTTTGGAAAATCTCCCCGGCCATGGGGAGGAAACAGGCCTCCCTGGAACCTCCACTCGGCCCCCGGCTCTGCTTCTGGAGCAGCGAAAAGGAGGCGCCCGTCTTTCCCACCAGGAAGGCTCTGTCTTTGAAGATGGCTGCCCTGTCCCTCCTCCATCTCCCCTCCTCTCACGGTTTGGAGCATGCAGCTTTCGAAGGCTCCGGCATCTCTTCTCCTCAGGCCACTGTGTCCTGGAAAGAAATGAAAAGCAAAAAAAACCCAGTGCATTTTGTTTATTTACCAAAACTTTGAAAACCTTGTTCTCCCTTGGAGAGTCCATTTACTCTTTCAGTTTGACAATCATTAAGAACTCCAGAGGGGCAGCAGCAGCCTCCTCTTCCCGGGCTGCAGACTCACGTTTTAGATGCCATTGGTGTGTCCCTGGCTCAACATGTAAATGGCCAAGCTCTTTACAGCTCCCCAATAGCCTCCCTCCCCTACTCTTGATGGCCCATCCAGCTCCTTCATTCATTCAACATATGCTTACTGGGGTCTACTCTGCAGAACCTGGGACAGGAGCCCAGTGCTTTGCATTAGAAACCCTGACATCACCTTTGCTTCTCCCGAGAGTTGCCAACCTTAGTGAATCTATGGCTCTGATTAATGTCTCTGGTGCCATCCTGGAGGGCAGGATAGCAGGTGGCCGAGAACATGGACTTTAGCGTAGCGCAGCTTGGGTTCGAATCATGCTCTTTGTCACGGTGCAGTGTGTGTGGTGGCCTTTAGCAAGTTACTTAATCCCTCTTCTTCTACTTCCTTTCTGCAAAATGGGACTAATAATAGGACCCGCCACAAAGGGTTGCTGTGCAGATCAAATTAGATAATATATGCGAAACACTTTAGTTTAAATGAGGATGTGTTTGCCTGGCAGACAGGGTGGAAAGGATATCCCAGGTAGAGTTCTCAAAATAAACAAAGGCCCTGAGCTGGGAAACTGCAGAGTGCATTGGAATATCTCCAGGGCAAGTCCTGGGCAGTGGGGCAGATCCACTATGGAGCATGGGCAGGGCCAGCAGGAAGGTGTCTGTCTTGCTGAAGGGTTTTGGAATTGTCCTGTAGGCAGCAGTGGGAACCATGTAAGGATTCAAGCTGGAGAGAGAGATCATCAGATCTGAATTTTAGCTGCAGCATGGCAAATGTTGGGAGGGTCAATTTTGGAGGCAGGAAAATGAGTTAGAAGCATGTTTCTATTGTCTAGGTAAAGGATGGCAATGCCCTGAACCAAGGCAAGACAAGAGCCAGGACAGAAGGCGGGCTGTGCAGGAGAGATGTTGAGCCAGTGAAATTGACCAGACTTGGTCACCAATTAGGATGGAGGTACTGTGTGCAGGGAGAGGAGGAGTCTACCAGTTGCCTGGGTAACTCAGTGACTGGGAGTGCCATTCGTTAAGAGTGAACCACTGAAG